CGGGGTGAAGCGTCAGCAGCGTGGCTCTGGACCGACAGTTGGCACCGTCAGAAGTCAGTGAAGCTGTAGCTTCGTACAGAGCAGACACCTTCAGTCAACTGCCGTCATCGACAGAAAAAACAGATTATGGAGACGGAAATGCTCTGGTCGGAGGTAAGCAACAGCCCTGCAGGGTCTTCTTCTGTCCTAGAGATCTGCGTTGGTTCATGAGACCATCAGGCTGTATGATGGACTAAGTCCTTGAAATGGGCAGTCAAGAGCCCTTTACCCACTTGGGGAAGCAGCAAGGACCCAGTCCCTGTTCCGCAGACAAGAACTTATAGAATAGTTTAGGTTGGAAGGGACCTTAACGATCATCTAGTTCCAACTTTCAGCTGAGATCACAGCTCCCAGGCATTTTGTCTGAATACTTCAGCTCTCTCTGAGGGTTGCTCTCAGGAAGGGTTTTAAACTGTGGGCCCATTCACTGGTGGTTTCCCACCAGCATCAGAGGTGATGGCTCCTGAGCTTGCCAGCCCCCCCGCCCGCTGGCACTCCGCAGGAACCGGGCGTTCGCTCCCGCAGGCATCCCAGGTACGAGCCGTGCTGCTGTGTTCTCCAAGAAAAGCAGGGGTGTAGCACACTGCTCTGCTGCCCTACTTCAAATGCTTGGTCTAAGCCTGCAATAACAACCCCATTTCAAGGTGCCTAGATGGGGAGAATTCTGCTGATGTCCGTAACTCAGGGAAGCCTTTACAAGTCAAACTATCTGGCTTGGGGCAGCTAGTCAAAGATCAGCAAGAAACACAGTCTTCCTGAAGGTATGTCCAGGGAAGAGGACACAGGAAGGAAATAAGGGATCAGGGCAAGCCAGGAGGAAGGACTCATCATTTTCTCTTGAAAAAAATAATCTCAGCTGGAAAACTACTCAATTGAAAGCATCCCTTCCTATTTTTGATTGTTGGAAACTATTTAAAAACCCAGACAACTTTCTAAAGTGTACCATGTCGTTGCCCACAAACTAGACTAAGGATCCTCTGACCTTCAGAGCAGTTAGGCAGCTGAGGACTGGGCAGGGGAGGGAAGGAAGGCTCTAAAATGTGCTACCAGATCCAGGTGCTTTATTTTTACAGCACCTATCAGGCAGTCATGTGGGTGCCACTGAGTCCTGCCAAGATTTCACCCGTACAACACCCTGCCAAGTTAGGGAGCTCTCCCGCGTTACAACTGAGCATTACTCAAGGCCATGCCAGAAGCTGGGAGCAGACCTGTGAACTGATCTCCAGTCCTGTGTGCATCCCTGCACCCATCCTTTCTTCCAGGGACAGCGGTCCTTTTGAATAGAAGCCACTTCTGATTCCTAAGCCAAAGTGGTAACAAGCAGCAAACTCATATTTTCACTTGGAAAATGAAGGAGTTTGCTGGAATATGCCATGATTGCAACTGAACCGAACAGCAGGGCCTGACCATCATTTCCCGACTCATCCATCATTTCCCGACTCTGGGCTTCTCTCCAACAGGCAAAAAAAAACCCCTGGGTGGCAAATGGTTTCAAGTACCAGCTTGAGACTCATCTGGCAGAGCACAGATGTAGAGAAGGGGAAAGGGGACAGAATGAAGTCCAAGGGCAGCAGATGCTTTCTGCCCTGGGTGGAGGGTGCTTTCGGAGTCAGCCCGAGCAGGGTCTACGCATGGCAGAGATGTCGGAGCTGGAGATAACTGGGTTGTTCCTCTCCAGTTTCTTTTTCAACTGCTGCTGGTACTGGGGAAAAGCAGGAGTGGAAATTAGTAGGACAGAGGGTGACAAACCATCACAGGCCCCAGTGACCCACCTTTGTGCGCCAACAGCGGGGCATGTGAAACAAAAAAGCTAATTGGCAAAAAAGACGTGGATAAGCTGCCGGTGACTAGGAACAGCTGTGGCAGCTCCTCAGACCGCAGCAACGGGCTGATCTGCTCGTAAGACAAACGCAGGGCTGTCTGGAGAGAGCCTGGGTCCCAGGGATGCCCTCACCAGACAAGCTGTCAGTCGGGCAGAGGTTGACCTGTAAGTGCACCTAAGATGCTAGTTCTGCTGATGGCAGGTTTCCTCGGTTCCTGCAGCTCAGTGTGTGCTCAGTACAGCACGATGCAGAACGTGCTGAGCACCCCACGGGCTCATCCACCAACGTGCTTAGCCCCAACACCGTGCCGAATTTTGGATCTGTTCTCCATTATCCTCTCAATGCAGCGTCTGGCTATGAAGCTTTTGGTTTTTTTTGTTGTAAACAGTGGCAGGGTTTTCAGTCACAGCATGGGGAATATGAGGCCACCACCCACGTAAGGTGTTAAAGCCCCTTGAAAAATGGCTGTATGAAGATGGTATCTTCCTAATGCAGTCTCTGCATCCATTTTCTGTTCTGCATTAACTCTTCCATCTCCCCCATCGCCTTGGTGTCTGCGAGGCTCCCTGTAATGCATCAGCCAAGGTGATTCTATCCCATGTGGTTCATTTGGAAACGTCTGGGCAGTGTCCAAAGCCAACAGCCCCTTCCTGACCCTAATATGTTTCTGACTGCTGCTGCCATCAGTCCCGTGAAGTCATTAGCTCTGTGAAAGCGGCTCTGGCTCACAGTTCGTCGGCAGGAGGGTTAGAAAAGGCCTGATGACAGATTTTTTGTATCTTGCAATACACCAGCTAAGAAAGAAACCGGGTCAATCCAACCTTCAAAATCCAGGGGGACTTCTCAGGGTGGGTTGGTAAAGGCAATCGTACACATTTTTACTTCTCAGCCAATTAGAGTTGATCTATAAATCACTGGGGAACATTAAAAATGTCTCCTGTAAGTTGAATTACATACAAGTCATTCCTGTTATCCGGTGTCTAGATCCTGTACATTTTCTCTTAATCAAAACTGGACATATAGGGGAACTGTGTATCCAATTGAACTATATTGAACTGAAGTTTGTATATGTGCAGGAATTACTATAAAAATTAACTGTTTCTTTTTCTGAAACCTTAGCAACAATCCAAACAGGATTTTCAGCCCATCAGGCAGCAGATGTATATTTTAAGAGCATGGCAGTATCCCATGACTAATACAGGTGCACACGCTGCTGGAAAATGTCAGACTTGGGAAGCTCCGGGTAAGGAGGGGATTAAAGTGACTCCTGGATTTGTAACAAGCCCCAACCCTTTCTCAAATGTTCCTTTTCGACCAGCTCAAACACACCAACCTGTTCAACTGAGATGGCAACAAATTCCTGCGTTTTCTGGCAGACATCAGGCTGGGGTGGCTGTGCTCCCCGTTTTCCTGATCTTCACTTTTCCCAGGCACAGGAAGCCACAATGCCTCTGACAGTAAAAGGGTCAAGTGCTAGACATCCCAGCTATTTGAGAAAGCAGCCTTGCGATTCACCCCTTGTATTTACATTCTGCCGCTGTGCATTAATTTAGGGAGGATCACACTGTGCTCCAAGAATGTGAACCTCTGGAACCTGGAAGCAGTAGCTGTATCTGCTCTCAGTTTCCTCAAGAAAGGCATCACCAGCTTATTGAAGAGCAAATGATTTAAAGGAGCCCTCATTAAAAAAAATAAATGCAAGCTAACGTGCTAAGAGGTCTGTAACCTGCTCTTTTTATGTGGTATTTCCACAGCAGGGCAGGATGCCAGCCGTGCCTCTCCTGCATGTGATCAGCTGGGAGCTCGTGTCGCACTGTCATGCTTTATCCCACATGGACAGAAATAGGTGTATCTTTCCACGAACTGAGCCAGCCAGTTCCCACGTGGGCAGCCAAGAGCTATTTTGGAGCTGACTAGCACGTATTTGTCTGGTCCCAGCGCTGACGTACCCTTAGAAAGGGGTAAGGGGTCCCAAAGGGTGGGTGCAGCAGTCGTGTTATGTGCGCTGGTAGGACACGGCGGCACTACCATGCGTGACAACGTACGTATTACGTGTCACACCGCCAGCACCCTCCAGGAGAGCTGCTGGGCTGCCTGGGGAGCCAAAGGGAAATGCGGGGTGTTTCAAAGCCTCCTTCCAGGCTGCAAGGGACTACTTCCCATCATTTGGGATTCCTGGTATGAGATGCCTAAGCCAGGATTGATTTATCCAACGTCCCAGTGGCTACAGCCCTCCCCTGAGACATGGTGGTGAGAATTAATATGCTCCCCTTGCCCGATTCCAAAGAGAGGTTTAAAGCCAGCTCTCCCTTCTCCCTGAGGAACGATCTCTTGGGGTCAAGCTCTCCTGGTGAGGCTCTTCTACTTAGTGTAAATAATGAGTTGCTAGCCCACAGCAAGAGAGGAAAAAAGATGAACTCACTTGCTCATCTGGTGATCGGGGCACTTGTGGGAGAAGCGGGGGAGAAGGCTTCAAACTCCTGCTCTAATGAATACTGAATTATTTATATGCCACTAAAGAGCTTCAACAGGACAGACTGGATGACAGATACTCACCTCCGCATCCTCGAACCCTGCCCTCCCCTTTTGACGGGTTCGGTGTGCAGTGGTGTGATGCACGGGGAGGCTCTGCAGGGGGGATGCGAGGGGGACAGGGTCCCATGGTGGGTCCCTGCTGCGGGACCTGAAGCCTGGTGCACACTGCGCAGCCGTGATGTAGGAAACACGCCTAACAAGGGGGTTTAGGGCTACAGGACACGACAGGGAGATGGTGAGTGGAATTTGACCTGAAAATGAGGTCTAAAGTGCAAGGAAGACTTGAAGGTCCCAAGTTTGGGGTCTGCAAATGTCCCACGTGGTGGACTCAGGTCACTATGGGAATGTGGCCCTTGGCAGCTTAGAAGGCTCCTACACTGCTGAATGACTTTGGAGAAAGAAAAATTATGCTCCTAATTCACTTTTTAGACTCAGACATGGACTCTTCATTGAAATCACACCCAGTTCTCTGTGCTCCTTGAGCTCTGGCATTTTTGTAGTCCAGTCTTGGGCATTTTGAACCTGTCCATTCAATATTTGGGTGCCTGCAAGCTCTGCCAAACCTGGCCTTCCCCTCAACTCTCTCCCAAATGCTCTCCTAGCAGTTAACTTTTCAGGAGCTCGCTCTCCCTGAAATGCAAGGGCAGATCTGTGTCCCCATGCCAGCTCTCTCCATGGCAGGTTATCTGCCTGCCTTCCCCAGCCTGGGGCAAACTCGACGTTGTGCAGGACTGACACGCCACTGGCTCCAAGGGGGATCTTGCCCACGGAAGGGAACAATCCTGGTCTCTTAAAATGACCCCAAGGTTTTCTACCTTGTGTGGCTTCAGGAGGATTTTAGCTGGGAACGGCAGTGCAGCCCCCAGGCATGGAGCGAGGGGGAAAGGGAGGATTCTGGCGGTGGGTGTCACACAGGCAAAGCCCAGGCTGTTTTTGTGTCAGGATCTCTAACTATTGCTGCTAAATGCAGAGTGAGAAAGAAATGCAGCCAAGATATTAAAGACTCCCTCCTGCAAAGCCTGCCGCTAATCCTCACGTGGATTCCCATGACAGGTTAGGTTTCCCTTCCCCCCGGGATGGCAGCACCCTCGGCAGACCAGGCGAGCCCTGCGTGAGAGCAGTGCAGCCCCCCTCGGTGTCACCTCCCAGCCGGGGGACCCACGGCCCCGGAGCGCACAGGGAGCGGCAGGGTTGGCCCCTGGCACCGGTGTACCGCTTGCGGTGGCCCTGCCAGGGCAGGGACGTGCTGGGAAGACACATCAAGCTCTGCCCTCCGTGACAGCCTGACTCTGATGGCAAAATCGCTCTCTGGCATCAGCAAATGTCAACTTTACCTGAATGAAACTGAATTCCCGCCAGTTGAGAGAGTTTGCGATGGATGGAAGTGAAGTGATGGCAAGTAACGACAGCAAGCCCAGGGCAATTATTCCAACGGAGATATAAATCTCCATCCTCCAGACTTCCTCCTCTACCCAGATATTCATCTTCTTCTCCACAGCCTGGCATGACAACGAAGGTTGGTTAAATCGGAGCACTTGGGAATAGAGGAACTGAACTTTATCCATATTCCTTGTGGTTTTGGGAGCAGGTTTCCTGATGAACACTGATCCTATTCACACCTCCAGCACTATTTCCCTGTTTGGGAGGTGTGGAAATGCTCTTTTATCCCACTGCCATTTGGCCAAAGCTGGACCAGATTTGAAGCCTGGGAAGAACTGCTGAATGCTCCCAGCTCCCACAGCCCGTAACCACAGCAGCAACCCCCAAAGTCACATTTGGAAAGATAATTAGAACGAGAAGTCAGTTTAAAGCCATGAAAACAAATACAGATGCTTGAATATGCACTAGTCTCCTAATAACCTTCATTTTAAGTGCATTTAGGGGGGAAATTGTTCATGCTAATGGAAGGGAAGATGGCTTTTATGCTGCATGGTAACCGCTCTCTTTAGTCCATTAAATGGGTTTAATTTACTAAACAAAGATGTTGCTAGAAAACAGGAGGTACAGGGGAAATGAAAGCAGGATGTTTGCCTGAGATTAATGTGTGACTGTGGCAATCGAGAAGGACCTGCTTAAGGCTGGAGCTGAGAGGCTGGGGATGTCATCTGATGGATGCTTTGAACCGGCACCGCAGCCGAAAGCAGCCACCTTGTTCCCTGCTGCCCCCACGGCCCCTTCCCTCCTCTCTGTTGGGACAAACATTTGGAAACACTTGGGAAATAGCCCAGCACAGAAAGCAGAGTGGTTACGGGGCAGGTTCCCCATGCAGCTGCACAAAGCTTGTGCCATCCCGGAGGGAGAGGGATGGAGCGGCGAGAAGCCGAGAGCAGGAGAAGGGCAGAATGACATTTTCCCATGGCACTGCAGAGTTACAGAGCTGGCTGAATTCCTACAGGTAGCAAGCTCACACTGGATAAACACTGCCAAGACGCTCAATAAGGCCCTAAAGTCCTTTTCTGTTTCCTCATCCTCTTACACTATGACCAGTTCTTCACCATCTTTTTGTTAAACTCCCGGAGGGTACATTGCGATGAGGGGACACCTCCTACAGAACAACCCCCCTGGGTTATGACGTGGTACTTCAGCAGGCACCTACTGTGAGCATCACTGTGAGTAAAGGGGAATCTCCCAAAATCTAGGGAGAAAAGTTGAGGGGAACTCTGCTCCCTCCGGCACAGGATCTCTCCCCTCCTAGCATTGTCCCTGCCTCTGCCCTAGTCTCAGACACTCCAGGTGCCAGGCAAGGCTGGCTTCAAAGGCTTCTCCATGCTTCTGGGGAGCAGTAGCACAGGGGAATTTGATCCTAGCTCTGGCTATAAAGGCATGGGCAACACCCCGCCAAGATCCTCAGTGCGGATGGGCGCATGCCCAGTACGGGGTGTGGAAGAAGTGCTTGTCTAGACAACAGCTTATTCTCACTGTCCCACACGTGCTTTGGAAAGCGCATGCAAAAGCCAAGATATTAAGCCCACTACCCAACACCTGGACGCGTGCAGAAGATTACGAGAGGTGTTGACCTGAAGACACGTTACCTGCTTGACGGCCGTCTCGATTAACTGGTAGCGGTGGGAGCGGCGCATGGGCAGACAGAGGCTGTACACGGCATGCAGAGCCGCACAGAAGAAGCTGAGGAGGCCAATCTGCTTTCGGTGCTGGAGCCACTGGTCGAGCCAATCTGGAAAACGCCTGTACTTGGTGCCGTAGTAGAGCTGCGAGCAGGCTGCCAGCACCCCAGGCAGGTAGACGAGAGACAGCATGACATAGGACACGCAAGGCAGCGTTGTGTTGACCACTTCGATGGGGATCTTGTACAACTTGTTCTTCTGCTCCCTGATGTAAGGGTGGATGACCTGCCGGATCAGGTTGTAAGTGAAGAAGCAAAGAAAGAGCCCCAGAGCCAAAAAGATGGGGATTTTCCAGGCTGGCAAGAGGCGCAGGGGAATGTTCTCAATCTCACAGGCTGACGACATGCAGCCCATGTCTACAGGGGTGAATCCCATGACTTGAGCGATTTCTGCTACAGTGCGCTTGGCTTCCTGGCTATTTGAGCAAATCAGAACCTGCAACAAACAGAAAAGTAGACACAGGGGAAAGGCAGGTCAGGCTGCTGGGAACGAGTGCGTCAGGAGGGATGCTGTGCTAAAGGGAGCCTATGTTGTTCCACTGAGCATCATGCTTCCTGGCAGGCTTTCTGAGGGGGATTTACCATGGCTGCCAAAGACCTCTCTCCTGGACAGGTTCCCTTTCATGTGTGCACCACCAGTTTGTTTCACTGGCTGTGTTTAAATAAACAGACAATTAAACGATACTTTTCACTTAGGCAGAGGCTCCAAAGATCACAAAGCATGAAGTAAGTGAGGGTGCTTCATTTCTGAGCAAAGAAACGCAGAAGCTATGGGCCAGTCTCTAGATACCACGACCAGCACTCAGCCCCCTTCTCCTGGAGCCCAAGACCATTTGCTGCTGCTGCCAGAGCTCAGCTGCTGAAACAGTTGGGATTTGGCCCTTGTCGGAAGAAGACAATACCTGCTTATTTCCATCCCTGGCACCGGACTGCAGCGTCCACGCAGAAACCACGTTAAACCCCTTGACCACGGTGCAAGCTGGGAACAGGGAAGCCAAGTATTCGGCATTGGATTCTTTGTGATGGTTGATCTCGGTGTTGTTACTAACGTCCACCAGGATCTTACCCACCAACACATCAGCCAGGTCACAGAGGGTGGAGTAATGTTCCCTGAAAACCGCCACAAAAATGACATCCGCTTTCTTCACCGCCTCAGCTTGGAAGGTGACTTCTGCTGCAGAAGGGAAGAGGCCAGCTTTGCGCTTCGGGTTGCGGCTCCCGACCACCACCTTGAACCCGGAGCACACCAGGCGGATGGCCAAGGACCGCGCAAAGTCCCCGCTTCCCAGCACCCCAATGGTGCGGCCGGCCGCAGGCATGATGCTGGGGTCACCCTCCATGCTCCCATGGCTCAGGAGGGGTTTGGCCATGTCTCCTCCAGACATCCTGGCAGGAAAAACAAGGTGAAATGCAAGTTTATAGTGAAGCTCTCATGGAGGCCCTAGACCACATGCATGGTGATGGGGAAAAACGCCACTTAGGTCACTTGAACAGAAGTGGTTTTGGTCCCAGTATCCCAGGACCCGTCTGCCAAACCCACCAGCAAGCGCGCAATAATGTACAAGCACCATTGGAGGGGGACAAAACACCACGCTGGGTTGGAAGGCGAAGGTCTCCGGAAGGTTTCCTGGGTTTGTGTGATCCAACACTGCTGGATCCATCATTTGCTGGCCTTCATGCCTGCATCTCAGACTGACAAGCCAGGGCAATGCTAACAGTGACCAGGACCAGCAACTCTCAGACCCCTATGGGGCTACGAGGCATCTTTGGAAAAGACCAGGGGTCCATGGGCATCCCTTAGCCTACATTTGGAAAAACCAGGGGGGTGCTTCTGATTTGCAGGAGCAGAATCAAGGCAGGGGGTTTAAGCTGAAATGAAAGTGTCGTAAAAGTGGTAAATGAAGAGAGTTGCAGCCTTTGCCTGTTCCAATATTTGGGTCTGGCAAGCGCTGTTTGCTTCAGCTCTTCAATGAGTAATGAGAACTTACTCGTGACATTTAAAAAATATATTAAAACATGATGGGATTTGCTCATGAAAGATCTTGATGAGCTTTACAAACGTTAATGAATTTTGCCCTGTAACACTCTGCTCTCCATAACAGATTAGATATTAAGGCCACGGAGAGGTTTTAAGCAGATCAATAAATTCACGGGCAGCACACCAGCCGGCCCTGGGGGTCAGACAAAACTCAGGCAAGGAACTGCCAGGCTGCTCACGGGCTGTGCCACCGGCAGCTAAATCTGCCTCCAGGCTTAAGGAATGGCAAGTTTGCCCTTAAGGAATTTTTAAAGGGCTCAGAAGGTCACCCAGGGAACTTTCACACCAGGATATCTGTTTTTTGTATTGGGCACACTGGTAGAGATTATAAAACAGACCATAATTAACAAATTCATGGTATATTGGGGACTGAGACAACTTCATTTTGGCGGAGTACAGTCTTGCCTTATAGTCAAGTTTTTCAAAGTGAAGGTGACCACTCTGATGGGGTGACCTGGTCCCTGGTGCAGGCTGTGTTTTCCACTGGGTTTTGGAAATGTCCTTCAGCCACGGCTTTTCTGGGATTACAGCAGTAGTGGTGGAAAGGGGAAGGGTGCTTCTGCATTAATAGTTACCAATGGGAAACAAAGGGTGAGAAGAAATAAATAATTTTCATGCTGGGAATAGGTTAGCAAGGGATTTCCCTGAGGAGCTGTGTTGTTCAACATGCTCCTAAGTGATCTGGGAAAGGGAGTGAACACCGAGAAGATGGAGCGTGTGGGGTATGATCGTTTATTGCGAAGAATCTGCAGAGGGACCTCCTCATTCAAAGTGCCTGAGCACCAAAATTCACTACTGACGCATGCCAAGTGCTGCCTATGGGCATAATACCCCTCCCAACTATACGTATAGTTTAATGAGCTGTGAATTTGTTAAAACCACTTGGAAAAAAGGATCTGAAGGTCATAGTACTCTGAAAAGAGCAGCTCAGTGCTCCCAAACAGGCACACATCAAACAGAGACAGAGTTAATGGGGCAGAAGACCTCTCACACAGCAACCACGACCTCTCAGTCCTGCTCCTCATGGAAAGCCTGCAAAACACCTTCAGCAGATGGACCTTGAAACGATAATTCACTCTTCTGGATACAAAAAAATCACCGCTATGGTGACAATAGTGTTTCTATGGCAGAGGTCTGTCTGCTTTCCTTGCCTCTCATCAAGCATCCTCCTGTCCCGTGGACAAAAGGTATGTTCATGGAGAAGGAGAAAACGCCTCTCATCAAGCATCCTCCTGTCCTGTGGACAAAAGGTATGTTAATGGAGAAGGAGAAAAGTGCCAAAGAAAGGCATGATGACTTCTCCCCTTTAATAACACCTTTTATCTGCTCCCCACGTGTCACGTAGACTTTCTTTCATGCTCTAGGTGAGTAAGAGAGCCCTGTGAAACTCAGAATTACTCATACCTCATGCTGAAGGTTTCTGCTTCTGTTCCAGACATGCAGAAGGGTTTGTGTGCCGCAAGGCTGATTTGGTGATGGCGTGCACACACCCCTGCCGTCAGTATATTCCACGTGCATCACAGTCACTAGGATGTTTCATCCAAGAATTACTGGGAAAGGCATACAAAACAACACAGAACACACTACTATACCACTGTATACATCCATAGATCGAACGGCACAGTTCTGCTCACTCCGCTGCAAGAAAAGGGCAATAAACCCAGAACCTGAAAGAGTGACAGAGGTGACAAGGGCTGTCAGCTTCGAGAAGAAACACGTGGGTGAGGAGGGAGAAGGGATCACCTGGGATTTGTCGAGGTGAAGAGCAACCTCACAAGTGGAGCTCAGATCAAGAATGCTGGAGAGCCATATCGAAACACCCGTCCTCCTTGTCCACAACCAGCCGTACTGCAAAACTCCTAGTGTAAAGGAAAGCACCGCCACCTGAAAAGATGTTGGGTTTTTTTTTCCTGACCTCTTCTTATCAGATGCTTTATCACAAGCTCACTGCTTTATGTCTTAGAAACCTTCTTGCTCCACCTAAATTTATTCGCGGCCAGAACTATTTGTTCTAGGGCCAAAGCTATTGTTCAGGCTAACCAGCTTTCTTTCCTACACTCCCCAGCCCCCCCTCTTTTCCACGACCTGTATGCGCATAGAAAAAAATAGAAACAGAGACACATCTCTGGTCCCCAGCCAAGGGGAGAGAAATCAACATTCAGGGTGACAAAGCAGTTGTTACCCGCAGACTCATTTTATAATCAATCTAAAGCACCTCTCTCTGTGCTCCCGTGGGGATGTGAGTTTTGCTGCAAGCAAATTTTCCTGTAGTGTGTTTTCTCTGTCCTGTAACTGCCACTGAACATGCAGAGAGATGTTGGCAATGTTTGGAGATAAACAGCTTCGCTGCCTCCAATTATTTTGATTAAAAACAATGACAGAATTAAATGGCCTTTGAAGTTAGCAGGATAGTTAAAAAGCAAGAAGCCTGTTTTCTGTGGATTTTGATGTGATTATTTCAGCCGTGGTCTGACTGTCGGGGTTTTGGAGCAAGACCTGTCCCTGCTGCACAGCCCTTGGTGGGAGGGCAGCTCGGTCTCTGCTGCCGGCTGCGGTCTGCACCGCGGGTCGCACTGCCATCACTGCCACGCACCCAAATGCCCCCAAGGATGGAGGAGAAAATCCCTCTTTCACCGTAAAGGCGTATCTCCGAGACAAATGCGGTGGTCTCTGCCTAACAGATGCCTGGAAATGGAGTGTCTGATTAGGCAACAGTTTTTTTCACTTCTGTATCTCTGCAGAGCACGCAGACTCCCCCCGCTCCCGCCGCTGTACCTGACTTGCCATGTCCACCCTGCTTTTTCTGCACCTATGGACAATGGGTTACCTGCCTCAAACTCTCCCACCCAAAGCTAATTCTTCACGGCAAGGTCAACCCATCCAAAGTCAGTGCAAAGCACCGTGGTCAGGATGCTGCGGAGTCACCCGGAGGCAGAGGAGGTCACCAGTGAATACCGCAGCGCTCCAACACATCTTCAGCGTGCTGCAGCCTTAGATAAACCTCGTTTATTGATCTTCCCTATCAAGGAAACTGCACCGCTGCTGAGTTATGGCACGTGCAATTCAAGGAGATTGGTTTCTTACCGAGGAAGCTACAAGATGATTTAAAGCACAGCCCAGTGAAAGTAAACCAGCTTCAATCCTAACCGGGAAGCAGTTCCCTAATTAAAACATCTAAAACAATGTAAAGCTGTCCTTCAGCTGGACTATTAATGACAACCTTATATCACTGCGTGGGGATGCTGTGTCCAGCTCTAGCACGCTCGTTCCTGTGTGCAGTTTACTGACTGCATTGCAATCCCTGCTGTAATTTGCAGGACGGTATCAGTGATGGGCAAGAAGCAAGACAGGGAGCTCCGCTCTGCCAGGCACCCTACCAAAACCGGACAGAAGGCCGCTCCTGCCCCAAAGAATGGGATCAGACAGACAAAAGCTGGGTGAAATGAAGCAGTCAAATCTCTGTTGCCCAGGCAGAGGGAGGGAGGAGCTCTCACAGAAGAAAAACATGGATAATTCACCCTGTTTTGCACCTGAGGCTTGGCAGAGGTTGTTAGCTTAGGCTCAGTGCCAGGCAAACAAGGTTTTTCTGCCTCTCCACCCACACTGAGCGGCCTCGCTCAGGTGTTGCAGCCGGACAGGTGCTCTGGATGGATCCAGCCTGCGAGAGCCCGCTCAGGTGTCTCGGGGCTCGCAGCAGAGTCAATCTGCCACGCAGATCATCCCCCTCCACTGACGGGGGAGCCAGCTCAGTTATTATCCTCTTCCAACAGACGTGGGGGACCGAGATACTAATGATAACAGGACTCTGGCAAGTTTGCCTGGGGAGACCCAGATATCCTCGGCCACGTCTTTAACAATGAGACCATCTTTTCGGGCCCCTTTCACTTACTCTGGCAGGCGAGGATAGCCTAGCTGGTTCCCGTAACTCGCAGTCTGGGCGTGTTTGAGTTGCAAACCCTGAAGAAGGATGGACCCGTGGTGGCAAGGCACACTTCAGTTCTGTCCAAAAAAAATCAAGGCCCATTTCACTGCCTTGATATTCAGGTTTATCAGATAAAAGACAACTTAGTTTTTCAATACCTAACAAAAAAATCAATGTCTTCAATGTATTGTTGAGTCAAACCGTGCTGAAGGACACAGCAGCAATCTCAGACGGAGCTCCAAGTAATGGTCCTGTCCGGTGCAACCAAACTGGTTCCTGTTTGCAAAAAAGCTCATCTCTGAGCTCGGCCTCAGGTACGGAGTACGAGCCAGCAGGACCTTGGCTTAAACAACCACTTTTGTGTCTCCCCCCACGTCAGGTTTTGTTTAGACCGACAATAACTGAGTCTGGAGTAGCTGTGGATT